TGGTGAGACTCACCTTCAATTAACCACCACAAAGCTGGAAGTGGAGACTTTGGCTCAAGTGGTAGAGTGCCAGCCTTGAGCAAAAAGCAAGAAAGAGTACAAGGGCCTGAGTTCAAGTCCCAGTAACCAGCACACACACACATACCACTGAAGGGGAAGGAAGGAAGGAAGCAAGGGAGGGAGGGAGGGAGGGAGGAAGGAAAGAAGGACGGACCGAAGGAAGGAAGGAAGGGAGGGAGGGAGGGAGGGAGGGAGGGAGGAAAGAAGGACGGACGGAAGGAAGGGAAGGAGGGAGGGATGGAGGGAGGGAGGAGGGAGGAAGGAAGGAAGGATAGAAGGGAGGAAGGAAGGGCACAACAATGTGACAGCCTGCAGGCAGGGACTCTCATATCCTCAGAACCCCTCAGTCACCTCCCGGCCCCATGTGGAGGCCTGGGTCTGTCTTCCATCAGCTATGAGTGAGAGCAGCCCCCATATTGAGAGGGGGGTTATGCGTTGTGACTTCTAGCTTCAGCTGTGTGTGTGTGTGTGTGTGTGTGTGTGTGTGTGTGTGTGTGTGTATGTGCCAGTTCTGGGATTTGAACTCAGGGCCTGGGCATTATCCTTGAGCAATTATGCTCAAGGCTAGCACTCTATCACTTGAGCCACAGCTCTATTTTCAGCTTTTTGGGTGGCTAATTGGAGATAAGTCCCACAGGAACTTTTCTGCCAGGACTGGCTTTGAATCTCGATCCTCAGATCCCATTCTCCTGAGTAACTAGGATTACAAGCGTGAGCCACCTGCCCCTGGCCTAAGCCTCAGCTTTTATGCATTGAATTAGGGAAGCATTTCATCTCTCTAATTAGTTCTCATTTACAGTATGCTTTGCATGTGCCTGGCACCATTTCATTTTTATTTTTTGTAACCACCTATTCACTTTTATTTTTTTATTTTATATAGTTTTTAAAAATTATTTATATACTTAAGTAGTTGTACACAAACATTTCAATTCAACACGTCAGTTTGTGAGTACAAAGCATCTTGATCGCTGTCACCCTTTCCATCAATCTCCCGTATTTCTCTCAACCCCACCCATCCCTTCAGGCTTCCTGGTTCCATTTTCACACATGTACATTGAAGATGAGGACAGTTTTCAACCACTCTTTCTCTATTCCTCTGTCCCCCTTTTCTTGATTGCCTTCCTCCCAACCCTAGTGACAACACATTATTTCAGCTTCCTGGTGCTTGTTTTTTTTGAACTGTAAATCAGTTGCTCAAAAGAGTTACACCATTGCAATTCCCCCTTGTGTATACCCTACTTTAGTCAATTTGTTCGTGCATATATGCATATGATTCTATATAGGTTTTCATATATGTTTATAATTTTAGATCTAACTTCCACATGGGAGAGAAAACATGTTCTTTGTCTCTTGGGCCTGACTTACTTCACTTAGCATATTTTTTCAGGTCCATCCATTTCCCTGTAAATGATATACATTAATCTTCCTGATGCATGAGTCAATTTCATACACACACACACACACACACACACACACACACACACACACACACACACATATCACATCTTCTTGATCTATTCATCCATTGTAGGGCCTCTGGGCTATTTCCCTAACTTGGCTTTGGCTGACACTATTTTAAATAAACTTTGCAAAGCTGTTCCAGGCTTTACAGAATGGAAATATGGATTCTTGGCCTCTATGAGATATCTTCCAATCAACACATCTTAAGTTGAAAATGTCACAAAGTCGAACACATTCAATACGCCTCACATACTGGCTGCCACAGCTCAGTGATACAGTGTGCTGAGGAGTTTGGTCCCTTCCTGTGACTTTGGCTGCCTGGGACCCATAGCTTGCTGCCTCCTTAGCATCATGGCAGGAAGAACTCCTTACTTTTAAAGTCTGGCTTTTAAAGTCTGGTGCTGTAGCTTAGCAAAGAACACTTTCTCAGCATGTGCAAGGCCCTGTGTTCAATGCCCAGCACTGCAGAGAAAAATAAATATCAAAACCAGTGCCGAGTGCCAGTGGCTCACACCTGAAATCATAGCTACACAGGAAGTTGAGATCTGAGGATATGGTTTGAAGCCAGCCTGAGTAGAAAGTCTGGGAGGCTCTTCTCCCCAATTAACCACCCAAAAGCTGGAGTAGAGTTGTGGCCCAAGTGGTAGAGCACCAGCCTTGAGTGAAAAAGCTCAGGGACAATGCCAGGCCCCGAGCACCTAGCACCCAGCACCCAGCACACACACACACACACACACACACACACACGTACATGTACATGCACATGCACACACAAACACAACATTCAAATTGTTTCTCCTGAACTACTTCAAAAAGTGTGCTTCAGACCATCCTACATTGGGCATCTGCTGTACTGTCAGGCTGGCCTTCCCACTTTGCTCTCCTGCTCAGGAGAGAGAAATGGTGGGAAGTGAAACAAGGTCTGGGGTGGGGCTCCCGAGAAGGAAAAGACACGGAGGAGCCTCTGGGAGGCTCTGATGGGTCCTGGGGCAATCCGGCTCCATGGATTCCAGTTCTGGGCTCTGATGCCTGAGCCATAGTCCTGCAACTATGTATCCTGAGTAACTTGAATGCGGGGGAGGGCAGGCGTGGGGGGGTGGTCCAGCACTCTCTTGAGGATGCCATCGAGAGAGAAACAAAAAGATGAGGCAGACAGGCAAGCATTGCCAGTGGCCTGGTGGAGACAAGGCGCGCCCTTTTCCTCTTCCTGGAGACCCAGGGGAAACTTAGATACGCTCTGAAGAACCACATTTGATGACCCTGGAGCAGACCCACACAGGGGACAGGCCACCGTCTCCTTGGGGTGAGGCCAGCAGTGTCCCAGCCAGATTCCAGAACAACTGAAACTGGCCCCAAAGGAGTCCCAAGATCTTACATGAGACGCTGATTTCTGGGCCTCCCTCTTCTCTCTCTCTTGGACTGAGAAGTCTGTACTTCTCCTCTCCCTCCCCCCTCCTCTTCCCTCTCCCTTCTTTCTCTCCTCTCCTTCTCCCCCCTCCTCTTCCCATTCGTCCTCCCTCCTCTTCCCTCCTTCTCATCTTCTCCGTCCCCCCCTCCTCTCCCTTCTCCTCTCCCCTTCTCTTCCTCTTTACTCCTCCTCCCCCATCTTCCCCTCCTCCCCTTCCTTTTTCTTTTCCTCCCCCTCCCCCTCCCCCTCCTCCTCCTCCTTGCCCAGTAAGCAGGTGGACAGGACCTCATCATCATAAGGTGCCCCAGCTGCAATTCTTAGTTGTGGTTTGTACCACCCCACCAGTAGCTAAGAGGCTTGCCTCAGTTTCCCTGACACCTCACTCATTTTCCTCTAAACTTTGCCTCTCCTCCCACTGGTCCTGCCTGACCATTCCTTACTTGATGGAGACAAAAGGAACTCAAGGTCCCTAGATAGTACCACCATGGTGTGATGATGGCCCCTTCTCCATGCCTGGCTGGTGGCTGGTGGGTGACCAATGCTGACACTTCCCTGGTCTGCTGTCATAGCCTCAGAGGACAAACCTGGGTGGGAATGGGAGATGGGCTTCCCTCTCAGCCATGGGGGGTGGGCTCACCTCCCTCCCAAGTATGGGAAGAGCCAGCACACTACTGGGGTGTTTGAGCTCTGCAGACCAGGCTCTGCAGACCTACTGAGTGCTAGGCCACGCCCCCAGCAGTCCCCAGAGCTGGAGGGGCCTGCTCTGGCTTGCCCAGGCCCTGGGTGTGGCTCTCCCTCAGCCCAGCTGGCTTTGATCAGCCTCATCCTCAGCCACATTACCATCTTCTTGTGTCCTTGTTTATGTTGCCCAGAAAACAAATGCTATGTCTTTCCCACGAGGCTTGTTTCTCAACTGTTAAGTTTTAACTCTATGTGAGCAGGGGCAGGCTCCCGCTCCTCACCCTCAGCCTCATTTTCTATACCCGACAATCCAAATGCTGCCAGTGTTGATGTGGGGGCCCCTGGCCAAGAAAAGAGCTTGCCCTCCAGGGACCACATGGCCAGAAGTGGGGGCATGGGGTGGGGGAGGATCTTAACCTCAGCCTCATTAGTATTTCAATAAAATTAGAATTCATGCATTGTTCATTTTTCTTATAGTATTTAAATAAAAATTATAAGAGGCAATTGTTCAGGATTAGGTTCCTGGTACTCAGCAGCAAACAGAAACAGACTAAAATGGAATCGATACTGCTGGGTACTAGTGGCCTGTAATCCTAGCTACTCAAGAGGCGGAGGTATGGAGATCATGGTTCAAAGCCAGCCTGGACAGAAAAATCATGAGACTCTTCCCTCTAATTAACCAGCAAAAAATCCCCCAAACTGGAGATATGACTCAAGTGGTAGAGCATTAGTCTTGAGCAAAAAAGCTCCAGGACAATACCTAACCCCTGAGTTCAAGCCCCAGGATTGGCACTAACACCCAAACAAACAAAACTCCACACACGATGAGGTGGTTTATGCTGTGCTAGCTTGTCACCTGTCACGTGCCTTGAGTAACACAGGACAGCATGGTTGGGTGAATTAAAAACACTGCCTTCCACTTTTTGAGCTATTTCAAGTTTAATCCCAGTAACATTAGACATAGAATTAGGGCCTATGACAGATTCCTAACAAAAATAGGGCCGAAGCATCCTTTGCAGTTAGCTCTCCTGGGAATCACAATCTGCCTGTTCAGTACAGGTGGACCTGCTGATCCTCCAGCCAAAAAATAGAAATCCCTGCGGCCACGTGCTTGTGAGTTTCCGATCCTGTGTCCACTATCGGGAACACTTGAAGCCCTCTTCTTTGGACTCTGGTGAAAAAAATGCTTTGCCCACCTATCCCTCCAGGGAGGAAGGAAGACATCTTCCTCTCCCAGCATGGCTGCTCCACACCCATGGATGGCTTTATTCCCCTGCTTCCCCCCCCCCCCCCCACTCCTCCCCGCTCCTCTCCCTCTGCCCCTGGTAGCTTTGACAAAGGAGCAGCAACCCAAGGTGCTGGAAGGCAAGGGCAGGGTGGGCAGCTCACCTCAGGCCTGCTGGGGTTTCTGCTTCGACTTCGATGGTGACTGTTGTTGCGGGGCTTGCTGCTGCTGCTGCGGTGGCGGCTGTTCGGGCTGTGGTGGCTCTGGCTGTAGTTCAGACGTCTGGATCTTGACTTGAGGACTGGAACACCGGCTACCTTCCGAGGGGCTGTCCTCCTCCTCCTCCACCACCTCCTCTTCTCCCAGCTCTTGTAGATTCCGGGCCCTCTTCCTCTCCAGCATCTCTTCAAAGAAGATCTGGCAGCTGAAGCCCTCGTGGATGCCGTGCTGCGCGTGCTCCAGCAGGGCCTCCAGCGTGGGGAAAACCCGGCAGCAGGCCACGCAGCGCAGCCCGTAGTTGGTGGTGATCAGCCAGTCCGGGGGCGCCCGCAGCTCCTGCAGACAGCTCTCCAGGGGGCTCAGCAGCTCCGTGGTGTCCGTGTCCTCGTCCTCGTCCTCGTCGGGCTCCTGGTACGAGGCGTTCTTGCAGGCTTCCAGCTCCCAGTGCAGGTCGGTGTTGGAGGCCATCTCGAAGGAGGAGCCTTTGCGTCGCTGGCGCTTGATGAACTGGGCCTCGTGGATGCGGGGCGTCCTGCTGACGGGTTCGAAGCCCTCCTCGGTCTCCCAGGCCACGGCCACGCCGCGCACCGTCTGCACATGGGTGTAGAGCGCGCACACGCTCTGGGGGGGCGCGTCCTTCGGGTCGTGCAGGCAGGAGCAGCAGGACTGGTACTGGGAGTAAGACTGATACTCGGCCGAGGACTCTGACGACGATAGGGAGCTGCTCCAGCCCAGGAGCCCCCGAGGCCGGGCGGTGAAGAAGATGTCCTCGTGTGGGAGGGCCGGCCCCGGGCGTGGAGATGACTCATCTCTCTTCATGGTCCCTGAGGACGACATCCCATAAGTGCCCTCTCCCAAGGGATCTGTGTACAGCTTACCTTGGGGGGCTGGGGGTGGGGGGCAAATCGGAGTACTCTCAGGAAGGTGTACATCCTGCTTTGCCCGGTCCTTCCTAACATGAGGATGATCATACCCTCTCATCGGGTCCCAGTGGAGGTCCAGTAATATGTGACTTGTCACCATAAACAAAGGATGTCAGCTGGTGACTAGACAGTGGTCCAACCATATAACGCAATTGCCTTCATGTATAAAATGGATGATGGAGGCAGATCTGTAAAGCATTTGCTAAATAAAAGCCAGATTTAAAAAGTCACACAAGCCAGGTGCTGGTGGCTCATGCCTATAATCCTAGCTACTCAGTAGGCTGAGATCTGAGGATCATGATTCAAAGCCAGCCTGGGTAGGAATGTCCATTGACTATTATTTCCAATTAACCACTCAAGAAAAACAAACAAACAAACAAAATGAGAAGTAGAGCTGTGGGTCGAGTGGTAGAGCACTAGGCTTAAGCAAAAGAAGCTCAGGGACAATACTCAGGCCCTTAGTTCAAAACCCCAGGACTGGCAAAAAAAAAAAAAAGAAGTTTGCATAATAGGCCTGGTGCCAGTGGCTTATTCTTGTAATCCTAGCTATTCTGGAGGATGAGATTTGATCTAGAAGATTACACTTCAGAGTAGCCCAGGGCAAACAATCTGTAAGTTGTCTGTCATCTTTGATCAACCAACAAAGGCCAGGCTGGGTGGGTACTGGTGGCTCATGTCTATTATAATCGTAGTTACTCAGGAGGTTGAGATCTGACAAGTGTAGCTTGAAACCAGATCAGGCAGTAAAGTCTGTGAGACTCATCTCCAATTAACCATTAAAAATCTGGAAGTAAAGCTTACAGAGGCAGTGGCCAGGCCCTGAGTTCAAGCTCCAGTACCAGCCCAAAAAGAACTCAGCTGAAAGTATGAGTACACCAGCCTGTGAGTGATCAAGCCAAGCAAGAGCAAGAGCTCCTGGTCTTGAACTCAGGACCCAGAAAATGTAATGATTCCACTTAGACAACATTCTGAAAAGAAAGATAGAGTGGTGACCAAGAACCAGGTGATAGCCGAAGAGTGGCTGAAATGCATATAAGTTCTGTATCTCAATTGTGGCAATGCTTACACCTGTCACAAGTATTCAGAACATATAGGTAAGATTGGTGGCATTTGTGGATGTAAATAATATCTCACTGCAGTCTGTCTGTAAAGCAGGACCTGGAAACAGTATGGCCAACCCAACCCATCACACTCCCACCATTTGTGATGTGTGTCCCCTCGAACTCCCATTGTGTCCCTGTCAGCGTCACAGTGTCACAGTTGCTGTGTTTCATTGGACTCCTTTTATATTCAGAGAAACCTTGAGAAATTTCATTATGATTCTCATTGAACAGATGAGGAAACCGAGGTGTGAAGACATTAAATGGCAGGTATTAAGGTGAGATGGCTGCTCATGAAAACATCCGGTGGTGCTCATGAGCACATCTAGGGTGCTTCAAACTGATGTCCTAGGTTAACTCATTAATTTGGTAAGTTAGTAAGTTACTTTGTTAGGGGCTTGAACTAGAGGCCTCATGTTTTGCTTACCTTTCTCTGCTCAAGGCTGGCATTCTGTCACTTGAGTCACACCTTCATTTCTCTAGATTTTTACTGATTAATTACAGGTAACAGTCTCTTGGACTTTTCTGCCTGGGATGTCTTTGTATTGCAATCCTCAGATCCTAGCCTCCCAAATAGCTAGCATTACAGAGATGAACTACCAGTGCCTAGCTCATCTATTTGTTTATAAAGCAGTTTTCCTGTCACTGGACTGCCATGCTGTTGTTTTTTTTTTCAAATGTGCATTAAATACATCACAGTGAATGTTTTACATGTCCATCCATGCACAGGCTGAAATATCATACACAGCAGCCTAGACAATGGCCACTGCTCCTCACTGCCTCATGCCACCATCCACTTTGATGGGCAGTTCTCTCTCAGCAACAGCATGTGGAATTCCTCCCTGGGGAGCATCACTGGCTCACCTCTATCCCTGCCTTTGACCCACATGGCCAGCATACTCCTATGCTGTTATCCATGGAGTCTGGGTTGGTCACACTGAGTGTGCTCCCATCAATTGATGACTGTTCTCTCCTATGAACTGTGAAGTGATGTTTCATGATTTGAAGCCAGAGCCCAGAGTTGCTGTGCTCCAGCATTTCTATGAGAGTTGATGTGGCTGTGCTGAAGCCCTCCAGGTGGCCTGGCCCGAGTGGCCCTGGACTCTTCAGCATCACTAGGATACTGGCTTTATTCTATGATGTCATCAGTGACACAGGATTTTTTTTTTCTCCTGTGATTCATGGTAACATTTGTGTTATTGGAGATGAGTCTTATCTGCCTGGGCTGGCTTTGAACCTTGATCCTCAGATCTCACTCTTCTGAGTAGCTAGGATGATAGTCATGAGCCACCAACACCTGGCCCCTTCTACTCTTTTGAATTCCAAATTCTAATAGTTCTAAAGCGATTGAAAAACACCCATTAATTCAAAGGCAGCACTGACATCACCTACCTCTTGGTAGGCACCTACTTCTTCCCCCAAAGCCTCGTAACTGCACACAGGAAAACACCAGGGGGCTCCAGTGAGCAATTCAAAGTCGTGCCCTTACCTGCAAGAAGAGAGTGAACATGTGTAATTACAGAGACCTCTCCCTTTAAAAAAAAAACAAACAAGGGGGTACCAGGAATATAGTGAAGCTAATGGAATAGAAAAATTAGTCTACTAATAGACATGATATGATATGTTAAAACATTTAAGTGCTAATGAGAGAGAGAAGAGGATGCTAGGCCATCAGCACCCCGCCTCCTCCAATCCCAAAGAGATTCTGCATCCTTTACTATGGCTTCGAGCGGCCATGTATGCAGGCCCTTAGACATTACATCCTCGTGGCCTCGAGCAGTTCCCCGCTGGACATCACATCCTGGCCCATCGCACCAGAAGACCTGCATGTCAACAGTGGGTTGTGCACCCAGAGGGATGAGCCGGCACGGGCATCTAATCAGAGGGGCTAAAGGATGCATGGAAAGCTCGTGCAGGTTGCATGGAGGCTCTGATTGGCTCTAGAGACTAGTAAGGCCCACAGGCTGTCCAATGATTGTGAGAGTCACATAGCTCTCTCCTAGAGACACCTTATGAACCCCTGCTTTCCACACCTTGAGCAGTGCCCTCCCGTGGGACCCTCCTGTCTAGCAGAAGCTCTGCTTATCTTTTTCTTCAATAATCTTTGATGTTTTATTTTTCCCTCTGTGTCCCTGAACTCATTTATTGGAGACCATGGAGACAAAGGCTCTGATTCAGGTGTTACAGGTTTTCAGAATCACTAACACTAATAATGACAGAGAGGTACAAAGACTCAATAGATAATGAACATTTTAATTTACTATTACCAGAAAATTAAGTTTGGTCTCACCTCATGTGAAATGAGAAGACTATTTTCATGTATCTCAGAGGTTCTTTTATAATTAAAAGAGTACTGAAAGAAAATACATTAATGTTTTAAATTAGAGGGTAGTTTTCCCCCCAATGATATCAACCATTTAGGGGCTTTTTCAATTTGATTGTTTCAAATTATTTGTTGTGTGATAGTTATTTTTGTTTGTTTCAGATTATTTTTCTTTTTTTATGCTGGTTGTGGGACTTAGAACCTGAGCACTGCTGCTAAGCTTTTGTGCTCAGGGCTAGTGCTTGACCTCTTGAGCCATAGCTCCACTTTTGGGATTTTTTTTTCATGGTTAACTGGAGACAACAGTCTATGGACTTTCCTGCCCAGACTGGCTTTGAACCTCAGTCTTCAGATCTCAGCCTCCTGAACAACTAGAATGATAGATATGAGCCACTGGCACCTGACTGTGATCCAGTTTTTATAGAACTAAACAGATAAACAAAGGGAAGGAGCAGAAGAAACTCAGATGGCTGTTATCCCCTGGAATTATAAAGGAATTACAACCTAAAAATACATTATATACACTGCCTATTTCCATTTATAAGTTAGGCAAGAGTTTAAAATTTTAACAGTAACAACACCCAAAGCTATTGAGAACATTAAGAAATTAATTTTTCAGTGACTATTTTTCCCCTGGTACTAGGGGTGTCTCATGCTCTTGACTCTTTCACTCAAGGTTGGAGTTCTACCACTTGAGCCACACTCTCTCTTCTGGTTTTTTATTTGTTAATTGGAGATAACGCTTTCATATTTGTCTGCCTTGGCTAGCCTTGAACTTCAACCTTCAAATCTCAGCCTAGAGTAGCTAGATATACAGAAGTAAGCCACTGGCATCCCGCTTTGTACTCTTATTTTTTTATTGAATTTTAAATTGTTATTTATAAAGGTGATATACAGAGGGGTTACAGTTACATATATCAGGTTTGTATCTATTGTTAACAATGTAACTTACCTTTCTCAACAGGAGTTTGGTGGTTTTCCACTAAGCAGTTTTCTTCCAGCTCTTTCCTGGGAAACTCTTATTTATACTATAAATGTACATAAAATTGGACGTAAAGAAATATTTATCGTACTTTTTTTCAGTACTGGAGTTTTAACTCAGGGCCTTCTGGTTGCTAGGCAAGTACTTTACCACTTGAATTAAACCTGTAGCCTTTGAGGTCTTATTTTGCTTTAGTTATTTTTCAGGTAGAGTCTTTTACAGGCATGACCTCTAACCTCAATCCTACCTAGATCTACAGCTGTGAACCACCATGCTTAACTTATTTGTTGAGGTGATGTCTTGCTAACTTGTTGCTTGGGTTGGACTTGAACCACAAACCTGCTAATAATCTCTGCTTTCTAGTAGCTGTGATTATAGGCATGCCCAGTACTGCTGGGCAGTACTAAGTGATAGTGGCTCATGCCTTTAATACTAGCTCTATCAGGAGGCTGAGATCAGAGGACTGTGGTTTGAAGTCAAGTCAGGAAGAAATGTGAGACTTGTCTCCAATTAACCAGACAAAAGCTACAAGTAGAAGTATGGCTTAAGTGACAGTGCACCTTGAGCAAAGAAGCCAAGGTAGATCCCAAGGCCCTGAGTTCAATCCCCAGTATTGATACAAAGAGAGAATGAGTGAGTGAACGAGCAAGGAAAAGAAGGAAAGAAAAGAAAGGAAGAAAGGAAGCAAGGAAGAGAGAAAAGGAAGGAAGGAAGGAAGGAAGAAAGGAAGGAAGGAAGGAAGAAAGGAAGGCAAAAAGAAAAAATGAGAGGAAGGAAGAAAGAAAAAAGAAAAAAATGAGAGGAAGGAAAGAAGGATGGAAGGAAGAAAGGAGGAAGGAAAGCAAGAAATGTTAACATAAATGACAGCTATGGAATATCATTCCATAATGGAAGAGAGCTATACATACTGATAGACAAATTCATGTTATCTGAAAATACAAAATACAGCTATTACAATCACACTTGTGTAAAAAAAATTATTAAATGGACTGGCCTTCTCCATAAAACCCCAAATCAAGTTCTATACTAACTGTATGAAAAGGCACATAGAATCCGGTCAATGTTGGTTCATGCCTATTCTAACTACTCAGGAGGCTGATCTGAGGATCACAGTTCAAAGTCAGTCTAGGTAGGAGAGTTCACAAAACTCATCTCCAATTAACAACCAGAAAGCCAGAAGTGGAGCTATAGTTCAAGTGGAGCAGTAGCCTTGAGTGGAAAAGGCTCAGCGACAGTGCCCAGGCCTTGAGTTCAAACCCACAGACCAGCCTGCACACACGCGCGCACACACACACACACAGGTACATAGAAGATCTGAAAATCATCAGACCTAAGTGAGAAGAGCATTGGTCTCAGAAGAGAAAGATCAGGGGGTAGGGAGTGCTGTGGGAGATTGAATTACCTAAAAATGGCCACACCGAATCCATCCTACCTTCCCTTCTCCCAGTGTTGTGGGACTGACCTCTCATTGTGAAGCTGGAATTTTGGAACTGCCTCAAGAATAGAATACAGAGAAGGATGGCTTTGTGACTAGGAATGCTACATCATAAAAGATGATGCGTCTTCCTCCTGTTTCTCTTCCCATTCTCCTCTGAGGTCATGTTGAGAGGAGGTAAAACCACAGGAGAGGCAGAAGAGGGATTCTAGATAAAAGCTCTGGTGAGCTCAGTCAAACACCAGATTTTTGTTTTGTTTTTGACACCAATTCAACATTCTTTATTTTGGCTTTCTATGAGTGGTTCTAAAGGGTTGTGACAAGTAGCATTTTTATTTTTTAATTCTCATTATGGAGGTGATGTACAGAGGGGACACAGTTACATAAGTCAAGTCATGAGTACATTTCTTTGAGGACCTTTCCCTCACTCTCTCCCAGTGTTTCCCTCCCCTCCCTACCCACAAGTTGTACAGTTCATTTTCCACATAGTGTCTAGTGAGTTCCACTGCCTTTGTTCACCCTTTGCTCCTTCGTTTCTGAACCAGCAATGCTTGAGCAGGTCATTCTGCTTCCCTGCCTTAGAATCTTCCAGCTGGGACACTGGACCTTACAGAGACAAGCCACATCTTGTGTTCTATCTGATCCCCCACCCAAAGAAACTACAAGCATACTAAAAGGTTATTTTATTTTTTCTGATCCTGGGGCTTGAACTTTGGTCCTGCATGCTGTCCCTGAGCCTCTTTGTGCTCAAGGCTAGCACTCTCCCACTTTGAGCTACAGCTCCACTTCCGGTTTTTGAGTAGTTTATTGTTGGAGATAAATGTCTCCTGGAGACTTTTCTGCTAGGATTTGAACACAATCCTCAGATCTCAGCCTCCTGAGTAGGTAGGATTACAGGCATGAGCCAGTGGCACCCGGCTAAAAAGTATTTTTATGTACTAAAGTTTGGGGAATATTTGTTACCCAGCCATAGTATTTCAGTGGAAGTTGGTTTATCCTGCAATGTTTAATATGTCCTAATGAGACCGTTTGTTAGCCAGTGTCTGTGTTCTGTGCATCTCTCTGGCCTAGGCAGAGAATTCAGAGCCAAATGAATGTTATGGTTTTTCAGGACAACTTGGGGGAGAGGCTCTCAGCACCAATATCCAGGGTCCTGCATATTCAGTTCTAGTATTCACATTGAGCAGCTTCAGTATTATTAACCTTGGCCCCATGGAAGATGGTCAGCTAGATTATAAACCTACATCATAAATATTTGC